AAAGCAAGGTATGATTTAGAAAATTTCAATAAATTTGAATTGATATAAAAATTATGGTTTAAATTTATACAACGGGTGGCAAGTCAAAATCTTTTATGTAGTTTAAATCTTTTCATGCCTTCAACAAATTTTTTTAATCTTTTTTTGTTCATCCTTCCGATAACTTGAATCTTGGCTCAGAAAGTCGAAAAAGTCGAACCTTGTCGACAAGAAGTTTAATTTCTTTTCTTTTTTGCTGTCTCTTCAAGTCCCTAGGGCGAGTTTTTGAAATTAAGAGAAACTAAACCTGTGCTGGTTAGACTGAACTGAGTGCTCTACCAGGCTACATCTCCTCCCATGTATACAACCAGGGAACGAATTTAATACATTTGAATCACTGCTCTAAAAAATTTCTTATCTTTTAATCGGTTCAAAATTGAACCTGCAGTATAGGTAGTTCAGTGACCTTATTAAAACCGGTTTCAGGAGAATATAATTCAACAATCCTATCTTCTGCTCAAGGAATATTTTACAGATCTAAACATTAATAGGAAACAGATTTTTAAATATAATCTACTCTTGAATAATGTTTTTAAACTCTTTCTAAGCTTGACTTATAGTTGTGTTTTGCTGGGAAATTAATAAACTTAGGGAGAAATAACCTGAAAAGATTCAGAAAAGCTTATTTCAAGGGTCTGTTTGCTTGTTGCAGATATACTTGGGGTTACTCAACTGTAAATACTAGAGCTGTTTATCTAGAGAAGGATCCAAGGTTAGTAACTAGTTAAAACCCCCATTGTGCAATCTAAAACATCTAAGGTCAATTTTGTTTTTGCGCTAGCGTAAACATTAATTTCACTTTTCAGAAGGCTGTGACCCTTCATGCACTAAATAAAATGAACAACTTGTCGGTTATAATTTATTAATAAAATTAAATATTTTTACTAAATCTTAACGTTTACATTTAATGCTGTTCATTGTGGAAGTACAGGACAAAGCTAAGGAACAAAACATTTGTAAATATAATAAAATATCAGTGTAAGCATATATCTCTCTAAAAGGGGTTGATAAAATTGGTTTTAAATTTTAGGTCTTAGGATTTTAGTTTCACCTAGGATATTAGCCATAGAAATGGTTAATCATGATTCTTAAAATTTAAACAAGTCTTTTTTTTATTCTTTTCCCTAGATGTATTGTAAATTGCATATTGCATGTTATTACCCACAAAAAAAGGATAACGTAAAAAGTTTGAAAAATGTGCTCTCCTTAAATTCAAAGACCACAAGTTATTTTCAGTTTTATCGGAGAAAAAAAAACATTCTCCCGAATCATACAACTCATGAAGTGTAAACATGGTCAATTGTCGTATATATTCTCTAAATAGTAAACCTCTCGCTCATATATATGTATGTATATTTATATGTTAGCTATAGTTGTCCAAACGGCTTGACCGAATGAGCTGAAATTTGTTGAAGGAACCCATGGGTTCCCGGGGAGTAACACAAACAAAAAGTCGACATTTTTTCTTCAAAAATCGAATTTTTTTTTCCAAGTAATATAAATGTATATATACTTTGCTTGTCTGTCTGTCTGTCTGTCTGCTTGTATGTATCCTTTAAACGTAAAAATAACTGAACCGATCGAAATCTATATTTAATCAAAATTACATATTTGTATTAAAATTGGCCGTTTTGACTTTTGGGATGGATGTTTTAATTAAATGCTGTTCGATATAAGAATATATAAATGGGCTGATAAACTTAATTTCAAGTAGCCCTCAATATGAGAGTGAAATATACGCCTTTTTATCAAAGGAGAAACAAAGGTATGGAAAGGAAAAAGGTGAGGAAGGGATCGCCCAACAAATTTTAACTTATGTACCAAGAGAAGGACGTTATAAATTATTTTGATTACTTTTTAAAATCTGCCAACGCTATATTTTGTCCAGGGATTCAGGAAAAGGGGAGAGGGGAGAGAATGCGCTTGCCCTGGTCCCTTTCCTAGATCTGCTCAATCATTCAGGTATCAAGCAGTGTTTCGGATCCGTATCATTTTGATGCGGATCCGGATCCGCGGATCCGCATCCGTGATGATGGATCCGGATCCGAGGTAACTTTTGATTCTGTGAATCGGATTTTCCCTATTAAATGTTATGCAAGGTTATAATTTATAA